GTAGGGGGAGTATTGTTAGAGGTAAGAACAGCTATATCAGTGAGAGAATGCTGAGTCCAGTGCCACTTTCACAAGAATTCTGTTGTATGCTAGCCTGACAGAAGTATAGTAGATCGCACTTCTTGTGTCTCTTTCTTCCTGTCCCTTCTGATGTAGGAAGTGTCTGTGTAAACCATAACCATGGTTACATGACTGATAGTTAGAATTCAATTCTTATATAACCAATTACTGTGTAGCTGATCACATTTTTGTATGTCGGTACTGTAAACGAGGATATAATCACCACAATAGGAGTTACCGTAGTGAAACTATACAGCACTATAGATCACGATTTTTACTGTAGATACATTGTTGCTATGGTAACATAGATACAGTGTTTCCATGAAAAATTTTAAAATACAATGTGACCAAGATCAACTGTTTATACACTGTAACTATGGAAAACTGTAAATACAATGTAGCCATGGTTACTGTGGGTACGATGTAACCATGTGTAATCATGGTTACTGTGGTAACAATATAATTATAGTAACTGGTTACCATAGTGACATAGGACCAACGTGTCCAATCCAAGGGAAAAAATTCAGTTAGAATGATGAATCATTTTAAATAAATCTCCATTAAGAAGCATTTATGATCTTTGTTAACCTTTGATTTCAATCCCTTAACTTCAGTTAAAGGTTTGTTTGTCACTTCCTTAAGAGACTCACCAATCTAGTATCTCTAAATTCTTTCATCCAAGCACTTATGCACCTTGTAAAAACCCTTTTATTTTGTTATTGTCGGCTAAAATGTCAAACATACTAACAAACCTGTATAGTTGTATTTGTCTGTTCAATTAGATTTGATCATGCATAACTGTTGATAACAAGATAAAGATGGATGCTTAAGCAGTACCACAGCTGAAGAAAGAAAGAAAGAAAGAAAGAAAGAAAGGGCAATTGCAAATAGACATACATGCAAAAAGAGACAGATAAATATATTATAGGCAAGGGGAGATAATCAATCGTAGTACATATGATGTGCAAGGGGAGATAATTAATCATAATACCTCTTCCAGACAAAGGGAGATAATCATAATGACAGGGTAGGGGAGATGATTATATTGTGTGTTGCAGGTAATGGGAGAAATATAAAGTATATATAGCAGGATTAGAAAGATAATTGTAGAAGAAAAATAACTGAGGAAACTTTTTATTTATAAAGAAAACAAAGAAAATCAGCACAAATGCATATTTCCATATATATATATATGACATGTATTCTAACACCTGTAGGGCACTTGGTTTGAGGGAGTGGTGAGCTCAGGCAATGGCGCAGCATTCTTCATCCATGCATTGAATGTTTCCCATCATCCATCACTTTTTTCTAAAAATTGCTACTTGTCATGAACAACAGAGTTGATTTTGACCAAATTTGGTCAGAAGCATCCTTAGGGTGAAGGAAACAGATTTTATATAAATATAAGGTCTTGGCACCCTGGGACCTGAGGTTCTGAGCGCAAAAGGGGAATATTTCAAATTATTATCAGATATATAAATAAAGGAAATATTTATGATATATAGCTGGCTAGGGGAGATATATTTATAATATATAGCTGGCTAGGGGAGATATTTATAATATATAGCTGGCTGGGGGAGATATTTATAATATATAGCTGGCTAGGGGAGATATATTTATAATATATAGCTGGCTAGGGGAGATATATTTATAATATATAGCTGGCTAGGGGAGATATTTATAATATATAGCTGGCTAATGGAAATATTTATAATATATAGCTGGCTAGGGGAGATATATTTATAATATATAGCTGTCTAGGGGAGATATATTTATAATATATAGCTGACTAGGGGGGGATATATTTATAATATATAGCTGTCTAGGGGAGATATTTTTTAATATATAGCTTGCTAGGGGAGATATATTTATAATATATAGCTGGCTAGGGGAGATATATTTATAATATATAGCTTGCTAGGGGAGATATATTTATAATATATAGCTGGCTGGGGGAGATATTCATAATATATAGCTTGTTAGGGGAGAGATATTTATAATATATAGTTGCCTAGGGGAAATATATTTATAATATATAGCTGGCTAGGGGAGATATATTTATAATATATAGCTTGCTAGGGGAGATATATTTATAATATATAGCTGGCTGGGGGAGATATTCATAATATATAGCTTGTTAGGGGAGAGATATTTATAATATATAGTTGGCTAGGGGAAATATATTTATAATATATAGCCGGCTAGGAGAGATATTTATAATTTATAGCTGGCTAGGGGAGATATATTTATAATATATAGCTGGCTAGTGGAGATATATTTATAATATATAGCCGGCTAGGAGAGATATTTATAATTTATAGCTGGCTGGGGGAGATATATTTATAATATATAGCTGGCTAGTGGAGATATATTTATAATATATAGCTGGCTAATGGAGATATATTTATAATATATAGCCGGCTAGGAGAGATATTTATAATACATAACTGGCTATGGAATATGATAATATTATAGCAAAATTATCCTGTTTTCCTGTGAATATAACATTGAGGTATTACTGAATTTGTCACTAGTGTAATACACTCTGGAGGATTTTTCATTGGCTATGCCAGTCATAAATCTCATGATATTGCTTAGGACATTATGCCATTAATTAAAAATGGTGCATCGAAATGGAAAAGAAGGAAAGCATTGGTGTCTTTTCGAGATGAAAGGACAGCATTGGTTATTAAGTGGGGACAAAAGGACTGAAGGTTGTCAAGTAGGACAGACTAATAATCATCGATTTTTATGTGAGACAAAAGGGCATTATTGGTTGTTATGGGTTGTTATGGGAGACAGAGGGATATCATTGGTTGTTATGGGAGACAGGAGGATATCATTGGTTGTTATGGGAGACAGGAGGACATCATTGGTTGTTATGGGAGACAGAGGGATATCATTGGTTGCTGTAGGAGATAGGAGGATATCATTGGTTGTTATGGGAGACAGAGGGATATCATTGGTTGTTATGGGAGACAGGAGGATATCATTGGTTGTTATGGGAGACAGAGGGATATCATTGGTTGTTATGGGAGACAGAAGGATATCATTGGTTGTTATGGGAGACAGAGGGATATCATTGGTTGTTATGGGAGACAGAGGGATATCATTGGTTGTTATGGGAGACAGGAGGACATCATTGGTTGTTGTGGGAGACAGAGGGATATCATTGGTTGTTGTGGGAGACAGTGGGATATCATTGGTTATGGGAGACAGAGGGATATCATTGGTTGTTATGGGAGACAGGAGTACATCATTGGTTGTTATGGGAGACAGGAGGATATCATTGGTTGCTATGGGAGACAGCGGGACATCATTGGTTGTTATGGGAGACAGTGGGATATCATTGGTTGTTATGGGAGACAGAGGGATATCATTGGTTGTTATGGGAGACAGAGGGATATCATTGGTTGTTATGGGAGACAGAGGGATATCATTGGTTGTTATGGGAGACAGAAGGATATCATTGGTTGTTTTATTGGACACAGAGGGATATCATTGGTTGTTTTATTGGACACAGAGGGATATCATTGGCTGTTTCGGGACACAGAAGGATATCATTGGTTGTTATGGGACATAGAAGGATTCATTGGTTGTAATGGGAGACAAAGGGATATCATTGGTTGTTATGGGAGACAGAGGGATATCAGTGGTTGTTATGGGAGACAGAAGGATATCATTGGTTGTTTTATTGGACACAGAGGGATATCATTGGTTGTTTTATTGGACACAGAGGGATATCATTGGCTGTTTCGGGACACAGAAGGATATCATTGGTTGTTATGGGACACAGAGGGATATCATTGGTTGTTATGGGAGACAGGAGGACATCATGGATTGTTATGGGAGACAGAGGGATATCATTGGTTGTTATGGGACACAGAGGGATATCATTGGTTGTTATGGGACACAGAGGGATATCATTGGTTGTTATGGGACATAGAAGGATTCATTGGTTGTAATGGGAGACAAAGGGATATCATTGGTTGTTATGGGACACAGAAGGATATCATTGGTTGTTATGGGACACAGAGGGATATCATTGGTTGTTATGGGAGACAGAGGGATATCATTGGTTGTTGTGGGAGACAGTGGGATATCATTGGTTATGGGAGACAGAAGGATATCATTGGTTGTTATGGGAGACAGAAGGATATCATTGGTTGTTATGGGAGACAAAGGGATATCATTGGTTGTTATGGGAGACAGAAGGACATCACAGATTATTTAGTTGGACAGAAAGACATCATTGGTTCATCATTGGTTGTTATGGGAGACAGAAGGACATCACAGATTATTTAGTTGGACAGAAAGACATCATTGGTTCATCATTGGTTGTTATGGGAGACAGAAGGACATCATTGGTTGTTATTGGAGACATACAAACATCTTTTTATTGCCCTTTTGGATGTGTTGATTGCATGCATTTTCTATATATAGACAAGCACATGCATGTGACACTCTAAGAGCTGGTGGGAGTCATCATTTGTTTATATTGTTGTTCCCTCTCTCAGTCCGTGTACTCTCATCAGTGTTGTCTTCTCCTCACCTGGGAGTTAGCTCCCCTTGTAGTGGTTGTGTACACAGTCAAACCTTACCCATGACTGATCGATCAACATAGAAGTTATTGTGATGCATTGGCAACATGCTTTCATTTCTGATCCTGCGCTGCTATGTTGGAGTATGTTTTGGCAAGCAATGCCACACATACGAAGGTTCTTATGTATTACTGTCAAATCTATGGTACATATGAAAAATACAGGTGGTAACGTTTGAATAAAGAAAAACAATATTATTGTGTGTTCTAGATGAAGGTTTTGTGACTGACATACCATAGATGAATGTAAAAAAGACCTCATCACTCAGCAGTCTACTTTTGGGGATTATCATTTCACAAATGTTTCATAATTTTGTATAATTGTTTTTATTTGTTTCAGAATTCTCATGAAAAGACATCAAAAGCTAACAACTCAGAAAACAAAAAAGTCTCTTTAAAATGCTCACCTTGGAAACATGGTTTTGTCCATTTTTTAAGAAAAAAAAGGCAAGGTCAAGGTTACAGAGCTGGTAGTCATAACAACAATGACTCGATTAACTCTAACTACCACTCTTCTAACTCGGCGACAACCAACACGCGGAATGGCCACACCCGCACCTCATACAGCAAACCTCTCCTCACTGCCCAAGAGGAACACAGTGCAGACATGGAAACTCAGTTCAGCTCCTCTCCTCTTCCCACATTTTCTGGTGAGTTTTTTTTTTGTATTGACATGTACAGTCAGTATTGACATGAAAATTCAGGCCCCAGGTGTGAAAAGATATTTAGACCTCAGATATGAAGAGATATTTAAGTCTCAGGTGTGAAAAGATATTTAGGCTTCAAGTGTGAAGAGATATTTAGGCCCCAGGTATGAAGAGATATTTTGGCCCCAGGTGTGAAGAGATATTTAGGCCTCAGGTGTGAAGAGATATTTAGGCTTCAGATATGAAGATATTTAGGCCTCAGGTGTGAAAAGATATTTAGGCTTCAAGTGTGAAGAGATATTTAGGCCCAAGGTGTGAAGAGATATTTAGGCCCCACGTGTTAAAAGATATTTAGGTCCCAGGTGTGAAGAGATATTTAGGCTTCAGATATGAAGATATTTAGGCCTCAGGTGTGAAAAGATATTTAGGCTTCAAGTGTGAAGAGATATTTAGGCCCCAGGTGTGAAGAGATATTTAGGCCCCAGGTATGAAGAGATATTTAGGCCTCAGGTGTGAAGAAATATTTCGGCCTCAGATGTGATGAGATATTTAAGTCTCAGGTGTGAAAAGATATTTAGGCTTCAAGTGTGAAGAGATATTTAGGCCCCAGGTATGAAGAGATATTTAGGCCCCACGTGTTAAAAGATATTTAGGTCCCAGGTGTGAAGAGATATTTAGGCTTCAGATATGAAGATATTTAGGCCTCAGGTGTGAAAAGATATTTAGGCTTCAAGTGTGAAGAGATATTTAGGCCCCAGGTATGAAGAGATATTTTGGCCCCAGGTGTGAAGAGATATTTAGGCCTCAGGTGTGAAGAGATACTTAGGCTTCAGATATGAAGATATTTAGGCCTCAGGTGTGAAAAGATATTTAGGCTTCAAGTGTGAAGAGATATTTAGGCCCAAGGTGTGAAGAGATATTTAGGCCCCACGTGTTAAAAGATATTTAGGTCCCAGGTGTGAAGAGATATTTAGGCTTCAGATATGAAGATATTTAGGCCTCAGGTGTGAAAAGATATTTAGGCTTCAAGTGTGAAGAGATATTTAGGCCCCAGGTGTGAAGAGATATTTAGGCCCCAGGTATGAAGAGATATTTAGGCCTCAGGTGTGAAGAAATATTTCGGCCTCAGATGTGATGAGATGTTAAGGCCCCAGGTGTGAAGAGATATTTAGGCTTAGGCCTCAGGTGTGAAGAAATATTTAGGCCCAAGGTGTGAAGAAATGTTTAGGCCCCAGGTGTGAAGAGATATTTAGGCCCAAGGTGTGAAGAGATATTTAGGCCCAAGGTGTGAAGAAATGTTTAGGCCCCAGGTGTGAAGAGATATTTAGGCCCAAGGTGTGAAGAGATATTTAGGCCTCAGGTGTGATGAGATATTTAGGCCCCAGGTGTGAAGAGACAATAGGCCTCAGATGTGATGAGATATTTAGGCCTCAGGTGTGAAGAGATGTTTAGGCCCCAGGTGTGAAGAGATATTTAGGCCTCAGGTGTGAAGAGATATTTAGGCCCCACGTGTTAAAAGATATTTAGGTCCCAGGTGTGAAGAGACATTTAGGCCCCGGTTGGAAAAGATATTTAGGCCCCAGGTGTGATGAGATATCTAGGCCTCAGGTGTGAAGAGATTTAGGCCTCAGGTGTGAAAAGATATTTAGGCTTCAAGTGTGAAAAGATATTTAGGCCACAAGTGTGAAGAGATATTTAGGCCCCAGGTATGAAGAGATATTTAGGCCTCAGGTGTGAAGAGATATTTCGGCCTCAGATGTTAAGAGATATTTAGGCCCCAGGTGTGAAGAGATATTTTGGCCTCAGATGTGATGAGATATTTAGGCCCCAGGTGTGAAGAGATATTTAGGCCTAGGCCTCAGGTTTGAAGAAATATTTAGGCCTAAGGTGTGAAGAGATGTTTAGGCCCCAGGTGTGAAGAGATATTTAGGCCCCAGGTGTGAAGAGATATTTAGGCCACAGGTGTGAAGAGATATTTAGGCCTCAAATGTGAAGAGATATTTAGGCTTCAGGTGTGAAGAGATATTTAGGCCTCAGGTGTGAAGAGATGTTTAGGCCCCAGGTGTGAAGAGACATTTAGGCCCCGGTTGGAAAAGAAATTTTAGGCCTCAGGTGTGAAGAGATATTTAGGCCCCAGGTGTTTAGGCTTATGGTATGATGATATTCAGGCCTCAGTTATGGTGAGATATTTAGGCCTCAGGTTTGATGCGAGATTCAGGCCTTAGATGTGAGTAGAGATTCAGGTGTCAGGTATGATGAGAGATTGTTGGTATTGTTTGTTAAGAATTTCTGTATAGATGTATGAGCTTCTGGCTTCAGATAGGGGTTTTAGACCTAAATGGCCAAGCCTGTGATAAAAACAGATGCTAAGGATAATGCTGCTTGCGCCCAGTATATTCTTATATAGTCCTTGCATGTTGGAATATATCTGAAAAAAATCTTTGTTGAAATCTTGAATACCCTTCTTTGATTCAAAGTTACAGATATATTTAATCTTATATAAGTTGAACCAGTGTAGTCTAAAAACCTGTCTTATCTGAATTAAAACCCTTTACAAATTGTCAGTTTAAACAGGTTTATACATGTATAATATCACTGATGTGATTTTAATTGAAGGCTTTACTTTTCAAGGATGATGTAAGTACATGTTGTAGTATGTGAGTGATCGACCAGTTATAAATTACACCAGTCAGTAAACAGATCATGGTCACGGAAATGTTTGATCTTCATACTGAACCAAACAGGAAGTCTGGGTCAGCAGAAGTTTTGACTTTATGCTAATTACAAAGCAATGGTTCTAAAGGTTACTTTTCCAATCAAAGTGATCATGATCTGTTTCATGTTTATGTGAAGGTGATACACAAATTGTTTTCTATCATATATGTTGCTTTCACACTAAGTTGCCTATTTATTTAGTTTCCTGTGGCCATTGAAGGGTAAGAGGTCATGCTGGTGCTGTTATTGGCCTTGTGAATGCTGTGCTTTTAGAAATAAATAGTTAATACAAACATCCTACTCCCCCACACCCCTACATCTCCCCACACCCCTACATCTTCCCACATCCCTTCATCTCCCCATACCCCTACATCTCCCCACACCCCTACATCTCCCCATACCCCTACATCTCCCCACACCCCTACATCTCCCCACATCCCTACATCTCCCCACACCCCTACATCTTCCCACATCCCTTCATCTCCCAATACCCCTACATCTCCACACACCCCTACATCTCCCCACACCCGTACATCTTCCCACATCCCTTCATTTCCCCATACCCCTACATCTCCCCACACCCCTACATCTCCCCATATCCCTACATCTCCCCACATCCCTACATGTTCCCATATCCCTACATTTCCCCACATCCCTACATCTCCCCACACCCCTACATCTCCCCACATCCCTACATCTCCCCATATCCCTACATCTCCCCACATCCCTTCATCTCCCCACACCCCTACATCTCCCCATACCCCTACATCTCCCCACATCCCTACATCTCCCCACATCCCTACATCTCCCCACATCCCTACATCTTCCTACATCTTCCCACATCCCTTCATTTCCCCATACCCCTACATCTCCCCACACCCCCTACATCTCCCCATATCCCTACATCTCCCCACATCCCTACATGTTCCCATATCCCTACATTTCCCCACATCCCTACATCTCCCCATACCCCTACATCTCCCCACATCCCTACATCTCCCAACATCCCTACATATCCCCACATCCCTTCATCTCCCCACACCCCTACATCTCCCCACATCCCTTAATCTCCACACACCCCTACATCTTCCCACATCCCTTCATCTCCCCACATCCCTTCATCTCCCCACATCCCTTCATCTCCCCACATCCCTACATCTCCCCATACCCCTACATCTCCCCACATCCCTCCATCTCCCCACTTCCTTACATCTTCCCACATCCCTTGATCTCCCCATACCCCTACATCTCCCCACACCCCTACATCTCCCCATATCCCTACATCTCCCCACATCCCTACATCTTCCCACACCTTACATCTCCCCACATCTCTTCATCTCCCCATATCCCTATATCACCCCACACCCCTACATTTCCCCACATCCCTACATCTCCCCACATCCCTACATCTCCCCACATCCCTACATCTTCCTACATCTTCCCACATCCCTTCATCTCCCCATATCCCTACATCTCCCCACACCCCTACATCTCCCCATATCCCTACATCTCCCCACATCCCTACATCTCCCCACACCTCTACATCTCCCCACACCCCTACATCTCCCCACATCCCTTCATCCCCCACATCCCTACATCTCCCCATATCCCTATATCACCCCCACACCCCTACATTTCCCCACATCCCTACATCTTCCTACATCTCCCCACACCCCTACATCTCCCCATATCCCTACATCTCCCCACATCCCTACATCTCCCCACATCCGTACATCTCCCCACACCCCTACATCTCCCCACACCCCTACATCCACCCACATCCGTACATCTCCCCACATCCCTACATCTCCCTACACCCCACACCCCTACATCTCCCCACACCCCTTCATCTCCCCACATCCTACATCTTCCCACATCCCTACATTTTCCCTGATCCCAACATTCTTCCAACATCCTGATTAAACCCCACTTCATTTTCACATCCTGTACAAACACCCTCTTACATTCTAAACATTCAGTCTGTCACATCACCAAACCCCATGCGTCTTTCTGCCCCCACTCTCAGCCCCATATTTCCTGCACACTTTCTCCTAACATTTCAGTATTTTTTGAGCATACTTTGATCTGCCTCTGACTTACCCCTATGTCCCATACAATCTCTCTTCCTGTTCACTTAAACTTCCTCTCATTTCTTTTTTTTATTTGCAACATTGTTCACCCACATCCCTACTTCTCATATATCCATGTATTCCCACATCCCTACATCTCCCAATATTCTTACATATCCCCACATTCCTGCATATTCCCACATACCTACACCTCCACACATCCCTGTCTCCCCTCATAACTTTACCTCCCCACATTCCTTTTTTCAAGGAATCTCTTCATATCCCCACATGTCTACATCTCCTCCATATCCTTACATCTCCCCACTTCCCTACATCTCCCCACATCCCTACATCTCCCCAACATCCTTACATCTCCCCACACCCTTACATCTCCCCACTTCCCTATATCGCCACACATCCTTACATCTCCCCACATCCTTACATCTCCCCACTTCCCTACATCGCAACACATCCTTAAATATCCCCACATCAATACATCTCCACATAACTGCATCTACTTGCATCCCGACACCTTCACACATCCCTACTTTTCCACATATCCAAATATTTCCACACATCCCTACTTATCCAAACATCCCCATCTCTCCACACAACCCCACCTGACCTTCATCTCAATATATCCCCACATCTCCACACAACCCCACATCTCTACCTCTCCCCATATTTCTTCATCTCCACACTTTCCCACATTTCAACACAACCCCACATTCCCACATCTCCACAACCCCTTGTTCCCCAAACATTCCCACATCTCCATATTACCTTACACTACAACATTTTTCTCACATTCCTACCAAATGTTTACATCTCTTCATGCCCAACTGTCACATCCTTACATCTCTTTCTGAACTTGAATTTTCGGCCATTGGCTCAGAAATAAGACATACATCTGTAGTAACCTTCAGTAACACAGACATTGGTCCTGAGATATGATTATGAAAGGCCAAAGGTTACCCCTCTTTAAATCCAAAGCACAAGCTGACCTTTGACCTGTGAGTGAGTAGAGCTTAGCACCACCCCCTCTGTTACAGATGCATTAGAAGTGCGCTCGTCCCCCGTTCCAGGGCACACCCCCACCCCCAGCACAACTAAAGTGTTTGACTTCACGGTGATCACATCCGAGTCGCCCCAGGCCAAGTCCTGCCTGCTGAGCTGGCGAGGCTGTCGTGAGTGCTTCTCTGACGACCAGCTGTCCGAGGACGGGGTAGGTTATGATGGGTGCTATGGTTACCAGGATGACACAATATCCCAGCACATTCCAAGCTTAAATACCAGTTGACACATTATACCCATTATATATGGGGATGTTCATCCCTATTTTCAGGAATCAGCAGGAATGTTGGAATTCTGGGTACACACAGTATCGGGGCCACTTCTTACTTACTGAAGGTTCCAACCAAATGTCGGTTTATCTGAGATAATCAAGACTGAGCAACAAAAAAATACAGCATCCTTCCCAAGTTCCTTGAGACCTCCATTGAATGCCCCTAAACTTGCTAGACTTTCGTCCTCCTTTTCCTTGCCTTCCCATGTCTTCCTCCCCTTTCCATCCACATATGTCCCCAGAACCCCATCCTTCCTTTCCATGTTCCCAACTTCAAATTCTGACTCTTATGCCCTGGTTTTCGACCACTTATCTCCTATGTCCCTGGCTTTCTCCGTCCCATGTCCAAGACTCCTTTACTCCCATGTTCCTGACCCCATCCCTTCTATGTCCCCATGCCCCTTCCTCCTATGCCCTGATTGCCTGTGTCCCTAAAATCCATCCCTCTATTGTCTGCTATCCCCTGCCTCTCATATTGCAAGACCTCGCCCTAAGATGTCCCAAGATCCCCGTCCTCTTATGTCCCAAGACCTCTCCCTGAGATGTCCAAGATCCCCGTCCTCTTATGTCCCAAGACCTCTCCTTGAGATGTCCAAGATTCCCTTCCTCTTATGTCCCAAGACTTCTCCCTGAGATGTCCAAAATTCCCTTCCTTTTATGTCACAAGACTTCTCCCTGAGATGTCCAAGATTACCACCCTCCCATTCTCTCTTTTTACACGACACGAGACTCCCTTCCGTGACACGAGCCTCCCTACTATGACAATAGACTCCTTTCCATTACACCAGACCCCCTCACTATCCATCCCATGTCCTCAGACTCCTTTTATCCCATTGATCCAACCCACTCCTTCCCATGCCCTACCTTCTCCTGTCTTTGACCCCCATCCCACCAACCTCAAATGCCTTGCCTGCTTATGTCCCTGACCTCCTCCCATCCATGCCCTACCTTCCAACGTCTTTGACCCCATCCCACCACCCCTCCAACACCTTGCCTTCCCATGTCCCTCCCTCCCTCCCTCCCATTCCCTCAGATGCCCCCATGTCCTGTACCCCTTCCTGTTTTTAGTATCAGTGGCTGTGTACACCAGACTGCCCCCCATGTCGTGTACCCCTTCCTGTTTTTAGTATCAGTGGCTGTGTACACCAGACTGCCCCCCATGTTCTGTACCCCTTCCTGTTTTTAGTATCAGTGGCTGTGTACACCAGACTGCCCCCCCTCCCCCATGTCCTGTACCCCTTCCTGTTTTATAGTATCAGTGGTTGTGTACACCAGACTGCCCCCCATGTCCTGTACCCCTTCCTGTTTTATAGTATCAGTGGCTGTGTACACCAGACTGCCCCCCATGTCCTGTACCCCTTCCTGTTTTTAGTATCAGTGGCTGTGTACACCAGACTGTCCCCCATGTCCTGTACCCCTTCCTGTTTTATAGTATCAGTGGCTGTGTACACCACCAGACTGCCCCCCATGTCCTGTACCTCTTCCTGTTTTTAGTATCAGTGGCTGTGTACACCAGACTGCCCCCCATGTCCTGTACCCCTTCCTGTTTTTAGTATCAGTGGCTGTGTACACCAGACTGCCCCCTATGTCCTGTACCCCTTCCTGTTTTTAGTATCAGTGGCTGTGTACACCAGACTGCCCCCCCCTCCCCCATGTCCTGTACCCCTTCCTGTTTTTAGTATCAGTGGTTGTGTACACCAGACTGCCCCCCCCCCCCATGTCCTGTACCCCTTCCTGTTTTTAGTATCAGTGGCTGTGTACACCAGACTGCCCCCCATGTCCTGTACCCCTTCCTGTTTTTAGTATCAGTGGCTGTGTACACCAGACTGCCCCCCATGTCCTGTACCCCTTCCTGTTTTTAGTATCAGTGGCTGTGTACACCAGACTGCCCCCCATGTCCTGTACCCCTTCCTGTTTTTAGTATCAGTGGCTGTGTACACCAGACTGTCCCCCATGTCCTGTACCCCTTCCTGTTTTTAGTATCAGTGGCTGTGTACACCAGACTGCCCCCCATGTCCTGTACCCCTTCCTGTTTTTAGTATCAGTGGCTGTGTACACCAGACTGCCCCCCATGTCCTGTACCCCTTCCTGTTTTTAGTATCAGTGGCTGTGTACACCAGACTGCCCCCATGTCCTGTACCCCTTCCTGTTTTTAGTATCAGTGGCTGTGTACACCAGACTGCCCCCCCCATGTCCTGTACCCCTTTCTGTTTTTAGTATCAGTGGCTGTGTACACCAGACTGCCGCCCCTCCCCCATGTCCTGTACCCCTTCCTGTTTTTAGTATCAGTGGCTGTGTACACCAGCCTGGCCCCCATGTCCTGTTCCCTTTCCTGTTTTATAGTATCAGTGGTTGTGTACACCAGCCTGTCCCCCATGTCCTGTACCCCTCCTGTTTTTAGTATCAGTGGCTGTGTACCCAGATTTCTGGTGTGTAGTGCTGGTTACTGTGTTATATGGCTGCTGTCATAAAGTTCATTATATTATGCTGCTGATGTGAATTTTCGCTTTTAATTGCTTTGGTTTTAAAATGTACTTTGCTTTTTAACACAGACATACGTATTTATGTGTCTGGAAATATCTTATATATCAGAGTACACCTGTTATTTACAGCATAACTACTTAACTTTACTTATTGTCTGTTACTATAAAACCAGACTTCGGTGACACCTGTCATTTACCATAGAACCAGACTTTGATGACTCCAGTGTGTTACCATAGGATTAAACTTGGGTGACACCTGTCATTTACCATAGAACCAGACTTTGATGACTCCAGTGTGTTACCATAGGATTAAACTTGGGTGACACCTGTCATTTACCATAGAACCAGACTTTGATGACTCCAGTGTGTTACCATAGGATTAAACTTGGGTGACACCTGTCATTTACCATAGAACCAGACTTTGATGACTCCAGTGTGTTACCATAGGATTAAACTTGGGTGACACCTGTCATTTACCATAGAACCAGACTTTGATGACTCCAGTGTGTTACCATAGGATTAAACTTGGGTGACACCTGTCATTTACCATAGAACCAGACTTTGATGACTCCAGTGTGTTACCATAGGATTAAACTTGGGTGACACCTGTCATTTACCATAGAACCAGACTTTGATGACTCCAGTGTGTTACCATAGGATTAAACTTGGGTGACACCTGTCATTTACCATAGAACCAGACTTTGATGACTCCAGTGTGTTACCATAGGATTAAACTTGGGTGACACCTGTCATTTACCATAGAACCAGACTTTGATGACTCCAGTGTGTTACCATAGGATTAAACTTGGGTGACACCTGTCATTTACCATAGAACCAGACTTTGATGACTCCAGTGTGTTACCATAGGATTAAACTTGGGTGACACCTGTCATTTACCATAGAACCAGACTTTGATGACTCCAGTGTGTTACCATAGGATTAAACTTCGGTGACACCTGTCATTTACCATAGAACCAGACTTTGATGACTCCAGTGTGCTACCATAGGATTAAACTTGGGTGACACCTGTCATTTACCGTAGAACCAGACTTTGATGACTCCAGTGTGTTACCATAGGATTAAACTTGGGTGACACCTGTCATTTACCATAGAACCAGACTTTGATGACTCCAGTGTGCTACCATAGGATTAAACTTGGGTGACACCTGTCATTTACCATAGAACCAGACTTTGATGACTCCAGTGTGTTACCATAGGATTAAACTTGGGTGACACCTGTCATTTACCATAGAACCAGACTTTGATGACTCCAGTGTGTTACCATAGGATTAAACTTGGGTGACACCTGTCATTTACCATAGAACCAGACTTTGATGACTCCAGTGTGTTACCATAGGATTAAACTTGGGTGACACCTGTCATTTACCATAGAACCAGACTTTGATGACTCCAGTGTGTTACCATAGGATTAAACTTGGGTGACACCTGTCATTTACCATAGAACCAGACTTTGATGACTCCAGTGTGTTACCATAGGATTAAACTTCGGTGACACCTGTCATTTACCATAGAACCAGACTTTGATGACTCCAGTGTGTTACCATAGGATTAAACTTGGGTGACACCTGTCATTTACCATAGAACCTTTATCTGATAAATCCTGTTTATCATCATTGAGTCACTTTCTTTGATGACACTTGATTTGTGGTATTATTTGATTTAGCAGACAGAAATCTGTTTCAGAAATCTTTGACCTTATTGACCTATCTTAGACCCTCTCATATTATTGGATGATGGGGTGCTGTACCAATCGCCCTATGTCCTTCGTCTGTCTGTCTGTCTGTCTGTCCATTCTTAACAACTTTTGTTGTCATAGTTTCAGAAGTCCTGAATGGATCTTTCTCAAATTTTACGTGAAAGCTTCTCTTGAATTCAAACTTTGTTTAGTCCACTAGGGGACTGATAGGGAAAACAGGATGGCTGGCAGGTGGCCATTGTGATTTGTCCACTAGGGGACTGATAGGGAAAACAGGATGGCTGGCAGGTGGCCATTGCGATTAGTCCACTAGGGGACTGATAGGGAAAACAGGATGGCTGGCAGGTGGCCATTGTGATTAGTCCACTAGGGGACTGATAGGGAAAACAGGATGGCTGGCAGATGGCCATTGTGATTAGTCCACTAGGGGACTGATAGGGAAAACAGGATGGCTGGCAGGTGGCCATTGTGATTAGTCCACTAGGGGACTGATAGGGAAAACAGGATGGCTGGCAGGTGGCCATTGTGATTAGTCCACTAGGGGACTGATAGGAAAAACAGGATGGCTGGCAGGTGGCCATTGTGATTAGTCCACTAGGGGACTGATAGGGAAAACAGGATGGCTGGCAGGTGGCCATTGTGATTAGTCCACTAGGGGACTGATAGGGAAAACAGGATGGCTGGCAGGTGGCCATTGTGATTAGTCCACTAGGGGACTGATAGGAAAAACAGGATGGCTGGCAGGTGGCTATTGTGATTAGTCCACTAGGGGACTGATAGGGAAAACAGGATGGCTGGCAGGTGGCCATTGTGATTAGTCCACTAGGGGACTGATAGGGAAAACAGGATGGCTGGCAGGTGGCCAATGTGATTAGTCCACTAGGGGACTGATAGGAAAAACAGGATGGCTGGCAGGTGGCCATTGTGATTAGTCCACTAGGGGACTGATAGGAAAAACAGGATGGCTGGCAGGTGGCCATTGTGATTAGTCCACTAGGGGACAGATAGGAAAAACAGGATGGCTGGCAGGTGGCCATTGTGATTTGTCCACTTGGGGACATAGGAAAACAAGATGGCCGGCAAATGTTAATCCAGTCTTAGACAAGTTTTTTATCACTATTTCTGGGAAAGTACTAGATGGATCATTCTCAAATTTCATATGGTGGTTCCCAATTTTGATATCTGTTTGTACATTGTCCATTTTTTGGACTAATCAAGAAAGCAAAATAGCTGACAGGTGGGTGGGCCTATTGGCTATTCCTTTCGGTGTACATGTAATAAATGGATATTTCTCAGATTTCATATGGAGGTCCTATTTTGGTCCTTATTCATGCCCTCTTGATTTTGGTACTGATCAAAAGCACAAATGGCTGTCTGGTGGCCATTTTGAATGTTGACAGTGAATGTTGGTTAAGGCTAATTTTTGAGAAATACTGGATGGATCATTCACAAATTTGATATTTATGTTCCCCTTACCCCATAGCTGAACTCTATTTATTTTTGGGACTGATAAACGGTATAAAGATTATTAATCGCTAAATTCTAAGAGGAACTTTCGAATTGTATATCCTTTTAAAGTAAAAACCCAGGAAAAGCAACCAACTTTTAAAAAACAAATCAAGATAACAAAAAATGTCTTAAATGTGTAAAGAATTATGGCAGAAGAATGGTTTGGCCACCTGGGGATGTTTGGGTGAAGTCAAAAAGATGTCCACCAAGGAGGGCACCCTTAGGACAATGGGAACTGATGGAAGGGCCTTTTTTTGTGACATTTATCAGTAGTAGCATTTCCTCGCGTCTCAACAGGTATCAGTTTAACAAAACACACATGACTTATACAACGATGTTAAGTCAGTCTTTTCGCTTAGAAGGCCTTGCCTTCTGATTGGCTGAGATTTTCTACCTCTTCCTGACTTCTACAAGAGACAGAATTATCGCGTCACTCCAGTTGAAGGCTATGTTTATCGAATGAAAATAAATGTTCCTAGATTTAAGTCTAGGACTGCGTAATGATAATTTGTTGTTAAAGGCTTATCATCTGTATCAGATGTTTGTGTGTTTCAGGGCAGTGAATGCACATTTCGGTTTGAGCAGAGCGTTGACGTTGCTATCAAAACCACTATGGCAATAAAGAGCGTCCAAGATGCCAAAAACTACTCAGCTTACAAGTATGCTCACACGTGACGGAGATATACCTCACTGACCGGTCCATATACCTTGAGCAACCAAAATTACTGACTGACCAGATAATAAATATATGCAAAATTTGTTGACTGGTCAGTCAGCTTCGACGAAAAGGAAGAGGACAACACATTGATAACCAGTCAGCGAAACTCCAGGAATTTTCTAAAAAAAAGCCAGACTTTGTGGTATTTGAACCAAAAATATATGATTATGTGACCCTGTTGTTGAATGGTCAGTTACCCTATATATAACACAATTGTTGAATGGTCAGTTATATTACATATTTCCAATGCAATTTTAGTAGAAAAATATAGTGTGTGGCACAATATAAAATATACATGGCCACCATGTTGTCAGCCACGTGGTAGAAGGAATGTTACCGTGGAAACAGGTGGTGTTAGAGTTAATACAGTGACATATGCAGCGATATTGATTGACCTTGAGATCTATGTCCTTGACCTTGTTATTTGATTCATCGTTCTTTCATTATTGTATAGATTCCCATTTTAATATTTCAATAGCAATTGTATAATTGAATGAAAATTTTATGAAGATTTGAAAATGGTCCATGCTTGTTTTGAAAAAAACCCATATAAAATCATTATTGCTCATTCTATATGGAATATTTTTCAATTTTTCCACATATTTCTTGTCTGTGATTATTTGAAAGCAAACTGAGATTTATTTGTTCCAGTAATTTGCTTATAGATGCCCTATTTATTATTGTTCATATAGAATTGTAGATGCCCTGTTTATGTTTGTCCCTGTAGAATTGTAGATGCCCTGTTTATGTTTGTCCCTGTAGACTTGTAGATGCCCTGTTTATGTTTGTCCCTGTAGAATTGTAGATGCCCTGTTTATGTTTTTCCCTGTAGAATTGTAGATGCCCTGTTTATGTTTGTCCCTGTAGACTTGTAGATGCCCTGTTTATGTTTGTCCCTGTAGACTTGTAGATGCCCTGTTTACGTTTATCCCTGTAGAATTGTAGATGCCCTGTTTACGTTTGTCCCTGTAGAATTGTAGATGCCCTGTTTATGTTTGTCCCAGTAGAATTGTAGATGCCCAGTTTATGTTTGTCCCTGTAGAATTGTAGATGCCCTGTTTATGTTTGTCCCTGTAGAATTGTAGATGCCCTGTTTATGTTTGTCCCTGTAGAATTGTAGATGCCCTGTTTATGTTTGTCCCTGTAGACTTGTAGACCCCCTGTTTTGAATTCTTTCTGTAGATATTTCATGGCCTGTTTATGGTTATTTATATTTATTTCTGTAGACTTGTAGATGCCTGTTACTTGCCAGTGCATGTGACCTTTACCTTCACATTGACGATGAGGTGCCATAGTGTGCACTACTAGGTCATCATGTAGATGCAATCACATTTGATCAGTGCTGTGAACTTTCCCACTGTTGGTCAGTAGCGACATCCTAAGTTATGCACCCACAAACAGATGTCATCTCCTGTTTTTGTTAGGGCCACAAACATTCATATGTGACGAAGTGCACATTCTGCTTGTCAGAGCAATATCACAGCCAGGTTCTGCACCTCAGAGGGTTGCCATGGTCAAATTCTTGTGTCAGAAGGATAGCAGTGCAAATTCATTCAATCAGAGTCTTGAAATAGCATATCAGAAAAATTATTAGCCAGTTTCATCAATGAAACAGACATGTGATCAGCCATTGACATTACTAGACTGTCATGTGATCAGCCATTGACATTACTAGACTGTCATGTGATCAGCCATTCACATTACTAGACTGTCATGTGATCAGCCATTCACATTACTAGGCTATGTTGTGATCAGCCATTGACATTACTAGGCTATGTTGTGGTCAGCCATTGACATTACTAGACTGACATGTGATCAGCCATTGACATTACTAGGTTGACATTGGATCAGCCATTGACATTACTGGGCTGACATGTGATCAGCCATTGACATTACTGGGCTGACATGTGATCAGTCATTGACATTACTATACTATGTTGTGGTCAGCCATTGACATTACTAGACTGACATGTGATCAGCCATTGACATTACTAGGTTGACATTGGATCAGCCATTGACATTACTAGGTTGACATGTGATCAGCCATTGACATTACTAGGTTGACATTGGATCAGCCATTGACATTACTAGGTTGACATGTGATCAGCCGTTGACAGAATTAGGCTGACATGTGATCAGCCATTGACATTACTAAGTTGACATGTGATCAGCCATTGACATTACTAGGTTGACATATGATCAGCCATTGACATTACTAGACTGACATGTGATCAGCCATTGACATTACTAGGTTGACATGTGATCAGCCATTGACATTACTGGGCTATGTTGTGATCAGCCATTGACATTACTAAACTGACATGTGATCAGCCATTGACATTAATAGGTTGACATTGGATCAGCCGTTGACAGAACTAGGTTGACATGTGATCAGCCATTGATATTACTTGACTGACATGCGATCAGCCATTGACGGAACTCAACTGACATGTGATCAGCCATTGACATTACTTGGCTATGTTGTGATCAGCCATTGACATTACTAGACTGACATGTGATCAGCCATTGACATTAATAGGTTGACATTGGATCAGCCGTTGACAGAACTAGGTTGACATGTGATCAGCCATTGATATTACTTGACTGACATGTGATCAGCCATTGACATTACTGGGCTATGTTGTGGTCAGCCATTGACATTACTAGACTGACATGCGATCAGCCATTGATGGAACTAGGTTGACATGTGATCAGCCATTGACATTACTAGGTTGACATGCGATCAGCCATTGACATTACTAGGTTGACATGCGATCAGCCATTGACAGAACTAGGTTGACATGCGATCAGCCATTGACAGAACTAGGTTGACATGTGATCAGCCATTGACAGAAATAGACAGACATGTGATCAGCCATTGACATTACTAGACTGACATGTGATCAGCTATTGACATTACTAGGTTGACATGTGATCAGCCATTGACATTACTAGGTTGACATGTGATCAGCCATTGACATTACTTGGCTATGTTGTGATCAGCCATTGACATTACTAGGTTGACATGTGATCAGCCATTGACATTACTTGGCTATGTTGTGATCAGCCATTGACATTACTAGGCTGACATGTGATCAGCCATTGACATTACTGGGCTGACATGTGATCAGCCATTGACATTACTGGGCTGACATGTGATCAGTCATTGACATTACTGGGCTGACATGTGATCAGCCATTGACATTACTGGGCTGACATGTGATCAGTCATTGACATTACTAGACTGACATGTGATCAGCCATTGACATTACTGGGCTGACATGTGATCAGCCATTGACATTACTGGGCTGACATGTGATCAGTCATTGACATTACTGGGCTGACATGTGATCAGCCATTGACATTACTTGACTGACATGTGATCAGTCATTGACATTATTAGACTGACATGTGATCAGCCATTGACATTACTAGGTTGATGTGTGATCAGCCATTGACATTACTGGGCTGACATGTGATCAGCCATTGACATTACTGGGCTGACATGTGATCAGCCATTGACATTACTGGGCTGACATGTGATCAGTCATTGACATTACTAGACTGACATGTGATCAGCCATTGACATTACTAGGTTGATGTGTGATCAGACATTGACATTACTAGACTGACATGTGATCAGTCATTGACATTAATAGGTTGACATTGGATCAGCCGTTGATATTACTTGACTGACATGTGATCAGCCATTGACATTACTGGGCTGACATGTGATCAGCCATTGACATTACTGGGCTGACATGTGATCAGTCATTGACATTACTGGGCTGACATGTGATCAGCCATTGACATTACTAGGCTGACATGTGATCAGCCATTGACATTACTGGGCTGACATGTGATCAGCCATTGACATTACTGGGCTGACATGTGATCAGTCATTGACATTACTGGGCTGACATGTGATCAGCCATTGACATTACTGGGCTGACATGTGATCAGTCATTGACATTACTAGACTGACATGTGATCAGCCATTGACATTACTGGGCTGACATGTGATCAGCCATTGACATTACTAGGTTGACATGTGATCAGCCATTGACATTACTAGACTGACATGTGATCAGCCATTGACATTACTGGGCTCACATGTGATCAGCCATTGACATTACTAGACTGACATGTGATCAGCCATTGACATTACTAGGTTGATGTGTGATCAGACATTGACATTACTAGACTGACATGTGATCAGCCATTGACATTACTAGGTTGATGTGTGATCAGGCTGGCTGTACACTGTAAGGCAAGCTGTACACTGTAAGGCTGGCTGTTCACTGTACACTGTAAGGAATGCAGTACACTGTACACTGTAAGGCATGCTGTACACTGTGAAGGCTGGCTGTACACCGTAAGGCTGGCTGTACACCGTAGGCTGGCTGTACACTGTAAGGCTGGCGGTACACTGTAAGGCTGGCTGTATTCTGTACACTGTAAGGCAAGCTGTACACTGTACACGGTGAGGCTGGCTGTACTCTGTACACTGTAAGGAATGCAGTACACTGTACACTGTAAGGCATGCTGTACACTGTGAAGGCTGGCTGTACACCGTAAGGCTGGCTGTACACCGTAGGCTGGCTGTACACTGTAAGGCTGGCGGTACACTGTAAGGCTGGCTGTATTCTGTACACTGTAAGGCAAGCTGTACACTGTACACGGTGAGGCTGGCTGTACTCTGTACACTGTAAGGCTGACTGTATACTGTGAGGCTGGCTGTACACTGTAAGGCTGGCTGTACTCTGTGAAGGCTGGCTGTACACTGTGAAGGCTGGCTGTACACTGTAAGGCTGGCTGTACACTGTGAAGGCATGCTGTACATTGTGAGGCTGGCTTTACAATCTGAGGCTGGCTGTACAGTGAGGCTGGCTGTACACCACGAAGTTTTCAGTACAATGAGGCCAGCTGTACACTGTGAAACAAGATATACACTGTA